CATTTAAAAAAAAAAAAAGTGGGTGGACTTCTCCCACATGTGCCTAAACTCAAATTACCAGTATATCCCTTTTCTAAGTGGTCATGTGGTAAAGCTTTGTCAGGGTCTCTTTGGGGTTTAATACAGACTCATACGGTGATGTTTCCATTAAAAAAAAGTGAGAAGTAAAAGCACGACCCTGTAGAGATTTAAACTTTGATATGATACTAGTTCAAATCTAATGACATCGATACCACAGCAACAAATAAATCAATCCTAATTTCTTATGTTATGAACACAACCTGCTCGCTGTCTACATGGCACAAACACATTGGTGACCTTTTGGTGACATTGCCAGTGTTTCATAAAGTTTGACTACCTTGGTACTCTGTGTGTCTGACATCAGCTGGGCTTTTGCAAAAGGTCTCATTTCAGAGACTGTATATCTGTCCTACTTTTACCAATGACTTACTACCTGTTCTATTCCTGTCGCTGTTCCTTCACCTGAGGAACACACAGACCCCTCCCCATTCGCACTGCAGTCCAAATTAAAGCTGTTCCAGAGCACCGGCGCACAGATTCTCTCCTCGGTTCTTCACACCTTGCACACACCTCTGGGATCGTCGATGACCCTGATAATTGCTGTCAAGAAGCGGGGTTGATGCGTACACGGTGCTGTTTGTGATGTGTTGAGTGTAATCAGCGTCTGTCAGGTTACATCTCTCCTGTGAAGAGAGCGGGCAGCTCGATAATTGGAACAATAGTTCAGAACTGCGCTCGCTGTAATGAGCTGCAGAAGAAGAAAGGTGTGAACAGTCCACTAAGTTTGTGAGTAAGGTCATTGTTACGGCTGTTTGACCCTTCAGCCCTTCTGTTGTCTCCAGGCAGGGGAAGTTACAGATAACTGGCCTCAGTGCACCTGGCCTCAGTGCGCCTGGCCTCAGTGCGCCTGGCCTCAGTGCGCCTGGCCTCAGTGCGCCTGGCCTCAGTGCGCCTGGTTTCAGTGCGCCTGGCCTCAGTGCGCCTGGCCTCAGTGCGCCTGGCCTCAGTGCGCCTGGTTTCAGTGCGCCTGGTTTCAGTGCACCTGGTTTGAGTGCACCTGGCCTCATTGCACCTGGTTTCAGTGTACCTGGCCTCAGTGCACCTGGCCTCAGTGCACCTGGCCTCAGTGCACCTGGCCTCAGTGCGCCTGGTTTCAGTGCACCTGGTTTCAGTGCACCTGGTTTCAATGCACCTGGTTTGAGTGCACCTGGCCTCATTGCACCTGGTTTGAGTGCACCTGGCCTCATTGCACCTGGTTTCAGTGTACCTGGCCTCAGTGCACCTGGTTTCAGTGCACCTGGCCTCAGTGCACCTGGTTTCAGTGCACCTGGCCTCAGTTCTTAAAAGCCTGGTGTTCAGGAGGAATGAGACTGCTGCTTGTTGATTTTTGCTCTATGATTCAGTTTGTTTTTTTGTTAATAATAAATCCCTTTGTTTCAGCTCTGGTAAGGTGTTTGATGCACTTTAGAGCAGTGGTTCTCAACTGGTGGGTCAGGACCCAAAAGTGGGTCGCAGAGTCGTGTGAAGAATCTATGAAGCGCCCTCGGACGAGGGACTAAATTTAACAGTGATGGCACATAATTCTTATTCTTACTTACTTTATGAATGACTTCTTTCTAGTCACATGTGACGCATTTACATACCTATGGTGAAAAAACAACCCCCCAAACCAGGTATGTGAAGAAGTGGTCTAAGGAGGCCACTGAGGCGCTGAGGAGGGAGCAGAAGGAGCTCAAGAGAAAAATCAAGGAGGGGAAAGCCAGCTACCGGGAAAAGATGGAGGAGCATTTACAGCATAAAAATGCAAGAGAAGTCTGGAGGGGCCTGAATAACATCTCAGGGCACAGCAGAAGGCGAGGGAGGGGCCCTGAAGCAGGAGACAGGGAGTGGGCAAAGAACTGAATCTGTTCTTCAATAGATTTGATTCTACTCCCACCCCCACCCACCAGAACGCAGACCAGCCCGCTTCTCAGACTCTCCATCTGAGTACCCTGAGTACCCTGCCACCCCCCTCAACACTCCATCTGAGTACCCTGAGTACCCTGCCACCCCCCTCAACACTCCATCTGAGTACCCTGAGTACCCTGCCACCCCCCTCAACACTCCATCTGAGTACCCTGAGTACCCTGCCACCCCCCTCAACACTCCATCTGAGTACCCTGAGTACCCTGCCACCCCCCTCAACACTCCATCTGAGTACCCTGAGTACCCTGCCACCCCCCTCAACAGCCATCTGAGTACCCTGAGTACCCTGCCACCCCCTCAACACTCCATCTGAGTACCCTGAGTACCCTGCCACCCCCCTCAACAGCCCTCTCCTCCACAGACGCCCCCCCAACAACCTCCTCCTCCTCCTCTTCCTCCTCCTCCTCCGGCCTCTCCATAACAGCTACTCAGGTGAGAAGTCAGCTGAGGAAGATCAAGGCGAGGAAGGCCACAGGTCCCGACGACATCAGCTCCAGACTCCTGAAGAACTGTGCAGACCAGCTCTGTGAGGTTCTTCTGCACATCTTCAACCTGAGCCTGAGACTGGAGAGGGTGCCGACTCTGTGGAAGACTTCCTGCGTGGTGCCAGTCCCAAAGACATCTCACCCCAGGGAGCCTAACCACTTCAGACCTGTGGCCCTCACCTCTCACCTGATGAAGACCATGGAGAGGATCATCCTCAACAACCTCCGCCCCCTGGTGACTTTAAATCTGGATCCTCTGCAGTTCGCCTACCAGCCGAACATCAGGGTGGATGACGCCGTCATCTACCTGCTGCAGAGATCCTGGACTCACCTGGAGAACACCGGCAGCACTGTGAGGGTCTCCAGTGCCTTCAACACCATCCAGCCTGCACTGCTCAGGGGGAAGCTAGAGAGGGCGGGAGTGGACTGTCACCTGGCTGCATGGACAACGGACTACCTCACCAACAGACCACAGTACGTGAGGCTTCAAGACTGTGAGTCTGACATGGTGGTCTGCAGTACAGGGGCCCCGCAGGGGACAGTTCTCTCCCCATTTCTCTTCACCCTGTACACCTCAGACTTCAGTTACAACTCTGGGAGCTGCCACCTGCAGAAGTTCTCCGATGACTCAGCCATCGTGGGGTGTGTGTCTAAGGGGAGCGAACAGGAGTACAGGCAGGTCATCATGGACTTTGTCGACTGGAGTGAGCTCAACCACCTTCAGCTCAACGCCAGCAAGACAAAGGAGATGGTGATTGACTTCCACAGGAAATCACCCCAGACTGCACCGGTGAACATCCAGGGCTTGGACATCGAGAGGGTGGAGACGTACAAATACCTGGGTGTTCACCTCAACAACAAACTGGACTGGTCACACAACACCGACGTCCTGTACAAGAAGGGCCAATGTCGACTTCACCTGCTGAGGCGACTGAGGTCCTTTGGAGTGTGCAGGACTCTGCTACAGACTTTTTATGACACTGTGGTGGCGTCTGCACTTTTCTATGCATTGGTCTGCTGGGGAGGAGGGAGCACAGAGAGAGACAGGAAGAGACTGAACAGACTGGGCAGGAGGGCCAGTTCTGTCTTGGACTGTCCTCTGGACTCTGTAGAGGAGGTGGGTGAGAGGAGGATGTTAGTGAAGCTGACATCCATCATGGACAACCCCTCTCACCCCCTGCATGACACTGTGGGGGCCCTGTGGGGGCCCTGTGGGGGCCCTGAGCAGCTCCTTCAGCAGCAGACTCAGACACCCACCCTGCAAGACAGAGCGCTACCGCAGGTCGTTCATCCCATCTGCCGTCAGACTGTTTAATCAGACTGTTTAATCAGAATGTTTAATCAGACTGTTTAACAACATCACCACCTCATTTTTTAAGAACAAGTTACTGTGTCATTTTACATTATTGTATTTTTTTTATTTAACTGATGTAAATATGTTTGATTTTTAACTTCTATTTTTATTTTTTAATAATTATATTCCCATCTCCTGTTTTCTGGAGCTGCTGTAATGCAAAAATTTCCCCCATGGGGGATCAATAAAGTTTATCTTTATCTTTGACTTTTTCAACTTGTTCAGCAGAATACTAAAATAAAAGCAGTCATTCAAACACGTCTCTGTAGTGAAGTCCTTAGAAAACACCGAGCTGCTCCGGCTCTTTACTCCGTTTCTCTCTCCTCTAAAAAAAAACAGGTCTACCTCCTCCGGGTCGGTCCTGCTCTCAGGCGGCCTCTCGTCCAATCTCTAACCTTTCTTTTTGCGGGGGGGGGGGAAACAACCATCTGCCACGAGGTGCTGGGAGTGTGTTTTTTTCTTCTTGTTCTTCACTTGAGCCAAAGAGTGCAGCAGGTGATTCATTTCTGCTCCGCACTTGATTGAGTGCCAATCTGTGAAATAACCTGCTGCAGTCTGAGGCTGGAATCAAAGAAAACCTGCAGACTCTTTGTCCTTGTGAGACCTGAACCTGAAGCTCCTGTTCTCATGGAAATACTCACAGAAACACTCCACACTATTTTTTCATTATTTGATAAAGAAATTAAAATTTATTTCAGGGTTACTGAGCACTTTCTAAAAATTGTTTTCTGGTCTGGTTGCCGTGTAAACCGTGTACAAAATGAAATGCTTATTGCTGATTTATGAAAACCAACAACATGGTTAAAACATGTCATGGAATCTGAACGTCTAAAATCTTAGTATGTATTAAGCGGCATTCTGTAGGGCCGTCGGTTGGGACCTGGAGGGTCTCCGGTTCAAGTCCCGGTGTGGACCAAGTCTGGAAGTTGGTCTGGTAGCTGGAGAGATGCCAGACCACTTCTGGCATCTCGTGAGCTACCATCTACCCCAGACTGTTTATGTAGCCCCTCCCCCTTCACGCTCTCTCCTCCTTGACACACACACACACACACACACACACACACACACACACACACACACACACACACACACACACACACACACACACACACACACACACACACACACACACACACACACACACACACACACACACACACACACACAGGACTCACTTTGGATGTCTGATGTCAGGGACGGAGCGGTTCAGGGAGATCCGGTCGCTCACGTAGATGTTGAACCCGTTCTCCCTGTAGGCCTGGTCCACCCGGTCCGCGTCAGTCAGGGGGAAGGGCTTCCCCTGCTCACCGTTGCCTGAATGCAACACACACACACACACACACACACACACACACACACACACACACACACAGGCTTCGTTAATCACCACACTGTGTTTCCTCTGCAGCTGCACATTTCACAGTGCAGTCATCAAAAGTCTGAACACCCTTCATAACATTTGTTGACTTTAATGTCTGGAGAGACTTCGTGATTAATCGTGGAATCTCAAAAGTTAATCACGATTAATCACATATTTTAATCTCATGTTGAAGAATCATTTTATATTGAATGTTTGTTCTGTCTTAAGCTGAGAGTACTTTACTTCCAGTGTGCTTTTATCTTGAAATAAGTACAGTAAGGCCCTTCCTGTAGATGGAAGGTTAGGACATGAAGTTAAGTCGATAAACAGGAAGTGGTTAGGGATCCCAAACTGACGTCAAACAGCTCAAAGGAACAGTAACAAAGGTGTGATGTCATAAGGTCAATGTGTGATGTCATAAGGTCAATGTGTGATGTCATAAGGTGGATATTACTTTGGACTCGTCAGCTGAGCTGTCTGAGAGTTTGTTAAAGTGATGCAGCAGTGTCCTTCTGTTACATCAGTGAGACTACAGGGAGACACTGAGGACCACTATCTACGGAGAGCCTGAAGGGACAAAACAACATGAAAAACATGAACGCATTCATTTCAGATCTTAATGAAGCGTGATTAATTAGTTAACGCTGATCGCACTGATCAAAACTCTTTTAGGCCTTTATTTCTGAGACAGGACAGTGGATAGAGTCGGACATCGAGGAGAGAGGGGGGGGATGACATGCGGGAAAGTAGCTACAGGTCGGATTCAAACCCGGGCCGCCCGCTTGGAGGACAGCCTCTGTACATGGTGTGAACACGAGAGGGAGAAAGTGTGGACTGTGAGAGGACAAACCCTTCGTCATGTTTGGTAACGCACCCTCCTGAAGGCAACAAGTTTGTAAAATACATTTTACCTGTGAACATCTCGTCGCAGGAATAAACCTGTTTGGTCTAATTCACGCTGTTTGTATAGAAGCTGTTTTCCCTGAGCAGAAGATGAAAGCGGAGCAGGTGATTATTTGAGCAGATCTAAACTATCTTCATGACAGCAGAGTGCATTCAAAGCAGCGAGGAGCGAGGGAATAAGACGCTCTATACGTTTTATAATGTGAGAATATTTCTTCACTTTGTGGAAGATCTGCAAACAGTGGGAACACAATGAATATGTCACACAGCTCTCATTTTTTATGTGACAGGAAGGATATCTGCGGGGAGGTCTGAACATACCCGATCTGGAAGAATCTTTTTTGATCGCTTCGTAGTCGTGCCAGTCTATCCTCCGCGTGCCGCCATGTCCAACCTGAGCGTCCTTCCCCACCCGGTTTACCCCCTGTGGGTAAGAAACAAAAAGACAGTCATGATGGGGTCATTGCATACCAGAGGGAACACATATGAAGAATCAGGAGAGAGGAGGGAGAGGGGGATGACATGCAGCAAAGGGCAGAGGTCAGATTCAAACCCACGGCCGCTGTGATGAGGACTAAAGCTTCTGTATGCGTCTAAAAATAAAAAATGAACAGTTCCATGGTATTTAGACACAATTCTTTCTGTTATAACGGGACACTGGATGGTATTAAGAGATGATGAAAAATCAGCAAACATGAGCCGAACGTGAGCTTTCCCAAAGGGTCAAAAGTTTTGCATCCTCCACACCTCTCTCTGCAGGGTTGAGGAGGATCAAGATAAAGGATCTAAATTCACTTGAGGGAAGAAGGTTTTTTTTAAGATTTACTTTTGGTGCCTTTAATGGAGAGATAGGACAGTAGATAGAGTTGGAAATCAGGGAGAGAGAGAGAGAGAGAGAGAGAGAGGAATGACATGCGGAAAAGGAGCCACAGGCTGGGTTCTAACCTGGGCTTGGAAGACTACAGCGTGAACTAACCACTGCGCCCCGGGGGAAGAAGGTTAAATATCAATCTCAAAAGCTAAAGATTGGCTGAAAAGTGAAATTTGTGTATCTGCAAAATCATGGTTAATTAGACGAGAGGTTTGCTTTGCTTGAATAAGCCTGTGAATGCATCTCTGTTCAGCAGCTGAGTCTCGAGGGCCAGATGTGTCAGACTCCCCCGTCCACCCCGAAACCACCGACCCCAAAGCTGCAGGTCTGTCCCACTCCAAAGCGTCCTTAGCTTTATTTAACCAGGAAAAAGTCTCATTGAGATTAAAAACCTTGTTTTACAAGAGCGTCCTGGTAGCAGTGATTTCAAATGAAACGTTGTTTTGTTAGATATAAGAAGCAGAAGAACAGATGTGCACCTTTAAGAACTGCTGCACAGTCACACAACAGAGCAGAACACACACAATGGGTATTTTTCCCCCAGACTCTCACTATCCTGCAGAGTTTATCCACAGAAAGTTTGCTCTTCTATTTCACGCTTGACAACCCTGTGAGGAGAATACCAATGCTGTGACGCACAGCTCCGCGGAGGCCTTACACACACACACACACACACACACACACACACACACACACACACACACACACACACACACACACACACACACACACACACGGAGGCGGACGGTGCTCCTCCTGCCTCCACTTACTCATTCTGTACACACAGTGACTGTGCAACGTGAATTACAGGATCACAGCACAATGGAGAAATAATTAGCTCGATGGGTGACGGGCAATTAGTGAAACACTTTAAATACAAATGGCGTCACTGACTGCATGAATACTGTGAATTATTAAGCAGGGAGCTGGCTGAGAGGAATATGACACCAGATAACAAACTAATGTTCAGTTTATTCACACAGAGTGTTTAGACCCTGTGAGGACAGTCTGGGTCAGGCTGATTAAGGGGTGCAAGAGTCTGATGCTATGATGACAGTTGTGGCCTGCATATCAAAGTATATTAATATTACATGTAGTTTGACACATTCACAGTATCAACAACAGAAAACATAAAGAAGAAGTTTCTGGTCGAGTGCATTCAGTATTTGGTCGAGCCTCAGTCGCAGGAATTATAGCCGCCCCCTCCCACTCACTCGAGATAAATGCTCCTGAATACTTCCTGCTGCGCTCTGACATCAGCTCACCCCACCTTCACACAGAAATATTTCTCTAGAGGGCCGGCAAGAAAAAAATCAGCTGCTGGTGTTCAAACAGCTCAAACCGAAGATTTCAGGACGTTTTATGACTGTGAGAAAGCACTAAAGGTCAACACACACACACACACACACACACACACACACACACACACACACACACACACACACACACACACACACACACACACACACACACACACACACACACACACACACACACACACACACACACACACAGAAAACCTTGATATCTCTCAGCCTCTTTGTTGTGATGACACAGACACAGAGACGCTGTAAAGGTGATATAAAAATCCATTCCACTCTGCTTTTCCTTCTTCTCAGCTCTCTCTCTCCACCACTCTTCTTCTTCTTCTTCTTCTTCTTCTTCTTCTTCTTCTTCTTCTTCTTCTTCTTCTTCTTCTTCTTCTTCTTCTTCTTCTTCTTCTTCTTCTTCTTCTTCTTCTTCTTCTTCTTCTTCTTCTTCTTCTTCTTCTTCTTCTTCTTCTTCTTCTTCTTCTTCTTCTTCTTCTTCTTCTTCTTCTTCTTCTTCTTCTGTCACAGGCAGGATGACCTCAGCGCGTCACACGAGGACCTGACGAGCAGCACGAGTCTATCTGTGCAAATTTATACCAAAAAAGAAGCGAGATTGTTGCCGCCCCATTTCCCCCCCTGATTAAAATTTCAGCGCACGTCGCCATGATATTCCTCTGGGGGCTTTTTTTTCCTCGTGCTGCTCAACAAGACCTTGAAAAACAAGACAAGGAGAGAGGGAAAACTTTTTAAGCTAATGTGTGCACATGTTTGGTTTTGTGGAAGTGGAGCGTGGGCGGACTGAAAGTAATTGAGACAGACAGTAAAAAGAAGATGAGTAAGAAGAAGACAGAATAATCTGGAGGAACAGATGGGGGTGCGTTCACATGTGAAGGCCTTTCATTCAAACTCACTCTCCTCCTGTAAGAGCCACTTGACATGCTCACATTCTGCATGTTCTCTCATGTTCCCCTCCAACTCGACATTATCTTAGTGTTTTCTTTGAGGGTCCCGTCCAGAATCAGGATCCAGATCACAGATAACAAAACACAGGAGTCCAGGTTTCCAGTCCATCACAGGACTAAGGCCTCCTGTCCCTCTATGTGAGAGTGCAGCAGGAAATATTCAGAAGAATTCCCCTGAAGTGAGAAGCAGGGGGTCATGATCATAGACTTTGTTGGAGCTATTTAATTGTTGTTAGAATTAGTTTTGGTATTTAGTTTTCTAATATTTGGGTGTTGTTGTTTATTTAATTATTCTACACGTTTTCTTTATTTAGAATAGATTTTGGGTAATATTTTCTTATTTGTTCAGTAAATGTAGTTTTGCATTAGTATGTTTTGTTAGGTGTTTGGGTAACACTGTGGGCACCAGAGGCAGGTAGAGGACCAGCATGCACCTGGGTGGGCCTATGAGAGGCAGCAGGAGACACCATGTTCTTTGTTCTTTTGTTCGCTTTCTTTTGAACTAAAAAAAACGCAGATCTCTCGCATGGACATTGGACTTTTTTTGCCTGCGTACATCACATCCCCCATGATGCATCAGTGGTCATTTGAGTTGTTTGATGTTAGTTTATTTGGATTTTTTTTTGTTTTTGGACAAATAGCCACTACAGACTTAATGCACGCCACCAGTGTGCAAAAAAGCCAATAAAGAAGTGAATCATCTGGATCGAGTAAATAACAGGAGAATTTGTGAACATTTATGTTAATGTGACATCTTTAATTAAAGATATATCTTCAGGTGTGAGTAAGTAAAAGCACAGGGACAACTTCTGCTGTGCGTCTCATACTTTATAATGTCCGTCTGTAACAAAGCATGACATATCCAGACTGAACAACAACAACAGCGACGCCTTATACTTGTCTTAAAGCAATATCACTACTCCAACCGTAACCATGGGTAACCTTAAAGGCACAGTGCATCACATCAAACAGATACATACAGTAGCATTTAGCATTAAATCAAATAATGTATATTATCTCTCTACCTGAGAAAAATAAAGATCTATAAAATAAAACTTCACAAAAATAAATCTCATCTCCATCTTACATTAAATATAAATCCCATATGATATCATTCAGGATGAGAACCCAGCTCCGTCTCAGCCAGCCTCATAAGAGCCCACATTCATAGCCAAATCTCACACACACACACACACACACACACACACACACACACACACACACACACACACAGAGTGAGCAGGAGACAGTACCAGACACAGTCTTCTGTTTCTCTGCTGCACTAGCACAGCACAAGTGTTGCCTTCCTCTTCTCTGCTAATCACCATCATCACCGAGCTCCATGTTGCCACAAACTCATTCCACTCTCGGGGCGCTTTCTTCCGCTCTATTAATATTCAAGACACAAGAGGAAGCACGCTGACGGGACACTGTGGGAGCCAAATCAGAATCGGGGCTATGTGGGGCCATCCAGCGTGCAGCGACGGACCCCAACATGTCTTTAAAAGTGATGTAAGCGGCGTGTATATGTGAGGCTGAAATGATGGAAAAAAAAGATGTGAGAGGAGCTGAGAGGACGGGGGCTGTAACTCTGTCACCTGGCACTACGCTCCCTCATTAAATTTAATGTAGCCTTTAAGAGCTCTATTTAAGTGATGACAAAAGGCCACATGTCAGTCAGTGTTTGAACAAGGAGCAGCTGAAGACAGACGGAGTGTGTCAGTTACCAAAATGTGTGGGCGTATTTGCATAAAAACACACACGAGCAGTCGCCTCGCTCACACATGAGATGTTTCCTCTGACGGCTCTTTGATCAGCACATCCCTGGCCCCTCCCACTTCAATCAGACCGTCTGCAGAGGATTCAACATCACTTTACTGCTAGTCCATGCCACAGCAGGGGATCAGCCCGCCAAAGGCCACTGCCCCGGTCTACGCTGCACCCGACCCCCTTGACCTTCTCTGCAGGTGGTTGGCCCCCACAGGGTGGCGGCTCCATGGGTTGAACCCGATTGGGCCCCATGGAGGAAAGTCCGACCTCGTAGTGCATGCGTTAGATTCTTGTGGTGAAGGCAGAACTCTGACTTTGACAGCCAATCTACTTTCCAACCCTCACCTGTGCTCATGAGCTTTGGGTAGTGACGGAAAGAACGGGATGATGGATATAAGCAACCAAAAAGAGGTTTCCTCTGGAGGGTGTCTGGACTCAGCGTTAGAGAGAGGGGGAGGAGTTCGGAGTATAGCCTCTGCTCCTTCATAGCAAAAGAAGCCAGCTGAGGTGG